CATAAAGATAAATCAGCAAGTACTGTGAGAAAGTCCATCTCTTCATAAAGAGGCCAGCTCTTTGGAGACACTTTAAACATTACAGCCTACCTCAGCTCAACCAGTGAGTGAGTCAAGTACCTTCGAACAGTATAAAATGCGAAACTCGCGCACACACATACGTCTTTCAAAGTCATCACGCTGCATGGTTGCCAAATCATGCCAGTGCTCCTCATCTCTGCCCAGGACATCGCCATTTGGCAGAGTAGATATCTCCAGGGACTTCCGAGCAGGACATCTGCAGAAGGACTTCCTCTCGCTGTCCACGTTCGGGCACGTTAAAATGGTCCAGCCTGTTTCATGCAAGGTATGGAGGGCCCAACTGCTCCATCCTGAGAGCGAACAGGGATGGAAGACTCGGGGAGAGGGTCCCCTACTGACGGTTATCCTTGGAGACGTTATGAGCCAGCCAATTCACTTTGGTCTTCCAGCTCTCCCGGAGGGCCTCGTTGAACTTCAGCTGGAATTGCTTCCGGGCCTCCTCATCTGTCTTCCCCAAAGCCAGCGAGTCCTGAAAGGTGTAAAAGAGACCATAGGGAAAAGCTGTTCATCTAGTTTCTATACAGGCAATTAAAAGGGTGCGAGATGGGTGCATATTTCCATCCAGATCTATTTTGGGGGTTCATATCCACCTACGACTGCTTCCAAAACATGAGACAACCCTTCTACCTTTGGTGTGTTCAGAACATTGGAGGTATTCTGTGGCAGGCTTCATGGTCAGCCCAGCCCAGCCCAAGCCTGGAAGATGGTGGCAAACCCATCCGAATGTTCTCCCTCCAGTTTCCTCCTCACCTTGAGATACTGGATGTCTTTGGAGCAACTCAACTCTGGAAGGCCAGCCGCTTTCATCAAGGAGAACAGATGTAAGAAGAGGAGGCCGTGACCTCGAAGGATCATGTAGGCTGTTTCACAGTAGTCTCTGAATCTAAGAAGAAAACAGGTCAAATGCAACGGCACCGCCAGGGAGTAATGTTCTTCCCAGACTGAGAAACATTCAGGAGATAAGTTGCCAGCTATAAGCTGCTCTGTGACCTGGGATGAGACCTGCTAACTCACCAGTTCACTGAAAAAAGAAGTGGTTTAGATGCCAATTAATCCTAGAGGAGAAATAGTTCCATTGCTGGAATTCTTGTAAAGCCCCCTCGCTTTCATCTCAACAAATCTTGTTAAAAAGAACCCGAAGATCGTGCCTAGCCAGGAATCGCCTGACAGTAATAATCTGAGCCCCCGATACGACCAACCACCCCGTGATCATTTCTCCTCTGCCGATGTGTTGAACCCTGGTTGAAACCAAACAAAATAAACCGCCCATCCCGGGTTTACCGTTCAAACTTCTCGCTGTTGTTGGTTTTCCCCTGCTGGATCACGTGAACAAAGTCGTAGGTCAGAATGAAAGGCACCCGCTCACGATTGATCCCAAATTTGGTCTTGAAGTTTCCCAGGAAATGGCCAAAATCAATATGGAACAACTGCAGAGGGATGTTGAAGGGAGGGAAGGAGAGAGTGAAGATCCCCAATTGCAAGGCCGGCAATGCTTTTAAAAAGGGTAGCGTGAACCGCGATATAAAAGAAAGAAATCAGAATCAAAGCTGTGTATGATATTTACAAACAAGCAAAACGATTTACAGGGCTGGATGTCACAATGTGGAGCAACTGCACAAATTAAAGAAAATTGGATAGTATTAACCATCTCGTTGAATTTCTGCATTACAAGATAATATGTATATCCACTAATCTAACCTAGGTTCTTATGGAATAATAGGGGAATTAACCAGGTAGGTCAGCCATCATGATCCCAACTTACCTGGCCGTTCTCTCGGACCATGATGTTGTCGCTGTGACGGTCACCAATCCCCAACACATATGTAGCGACACAGTATCCAGCACACGAAAGCGTGAATTCCTCGATGGCTTGCTCCAGTGCGTCACTACGCAAGAGGGGAGAGTGAGCTGGTGAAGGAAAGTCAATGCAGCCCTTGCAAGGCAACGTAAAAACTCACCCAGTGGTGCCTTTTCAAAGCATAAAAACCAAGGTCAAATTCCTATCCCCAAAAGGGAAGCTGTTGTTCTCCTCGCTTAAACTATCTTAAGCTCTGCTGTCATCGATTCTTACAATTTTTAAGAAATAGACAATCCAGCTAGCTAAGCATCTTGTTTCTGCAAGCCTCAGAAGCATCAGGAGAAGACCTACTTAGAATGGTTGAAGCTCTTGGCAACCAACAATGGGCAGGATCCCTTTTCTGAGTAGCCTTCATCCACCCAGTTTCATCTTCATGGCCTTCTCAAGCCTGGGTTCATTTAGGCTTTTAGGACAACCTCCGCCTTTTATTTTGAGCCTCTTCATTCAATACCTGTGTCACCATTATGTATAGCCTTGGCCGTGCTAGTTGAGATTTCTGGGAGTTATAATCCAGGCCTATCTGGGGGGCAGGGGGTGGGCCAGGCTTTCTTAGAACATACCCAGGGTTTTTGGACTTCAGCCAATTCAAGAGGGCATCCTTGTTGAAAGCGGCAGTGGCCGCCATATTGCTCTTGTTGAGTTGAATGTTGGCAATGGTGTCTGACTTCATCACCACTTCGATCAGCCCCATCTTGTCTCCTGTGGAAAGGCAGCCATAAGGGGTCATCCTTCAGAGGAGAGAGAAACAGAGAGAAGAATCAGATCCTGCTCTGGTGGGGTGAAACTGAGATCTTGGGAGGGTACATCCTGGTCCAAGCTCAGATCAGACACAAGCCAACAAGCTTGGAGGAAGGATCCGATCAAGGATCAGGAAATAGGAGGTGGCCTTCATCAGAACTGAACTGGTGGGAGTCAGGTGATGGAGGACAAGACTGTAGAAGAAACAGGGTGGAGAGAAGTCCTCAAAATCCATCCAGTCTTGTATTACGACTGCAGAAAGCAAGGCGTTCATGCTTAGGGGGCCGATTTCACCTCAGTCCCAATGAACCCAACGCACCTCAAGTCCAGGCCTTCTTGCTTCCATAAGATGTCCATGAGTTGGATCATCTGGAGTGTCAACATATCCTGACGAAGATCTGCCAAAAAGGGAAAGGTCGGTTTGGCCCATCCTCTCTCTCCTTCCTACGATCCTCAACTTTCCCCAACTGGGTAGAAATTACCTAGCAGAGATGGGAATCTCGCCCCCCCGGATTTGTCAGCTGGCCCACGAGGGGGCACTTTGGCTTGCTGAGCGACGCAGGACTCTTTGGCAGTAAACCCCATTACTTAAAACATGCTTCAGCTCAATCAGCTCACCCACATTTAATATTTTACTTCTCTTTGGAGCCAGCGTCTTTCTGAAAAAAGTCAAGGGGCCACCTCCCCTTCAGCTTAGGAAAAGCACCAAATGATGGAGGCTTCCTCTTAACCTTGCATTGCAGTAGCCTGGAAAGTGGTCACTGAACTCATCCGAGGGGAAGGAAAGGGCCTCCGAGGCCATCTAGCCTGACCCCACTCTGCTCAGAAAATCTAGCCTCAAAAGCATTGCCAAGCAACGGCCATCTGGACTCGGGTGAATCTGCAGAAATCTGCTCTTTGGCCAAATACTTGGTTCCAGTGTCAAATAGCTCTTCCCGCTCAGGATATTGCTAATATTGGTCCAAAGCCCTCTTGTTTTCCTTTAAAGAAGAAGCACAGGAAAAGAAGAGATGCCCCTTTCTAAACGGGATTCGAACACGGTACAGTGGTACCTCTACTTACGAACTTAATCCGTTCCGTGACTCTGATCGCAAGTCGAG